AGGCAAGAATACCCGCTGAAATATCGACCAACCAAGCAATAGGACTAAACTACGGCCTGGCAGTTGAACTAACGTGCCAAACTATGTGCTGAACGTGCACAACCGAGCGTAATCTCCAAGTGGTACTCACACATGTGGGAAGCCAACCGCATTTGCGATAGGATACAGAATTTTGAAGAGCCTAACTAGCCAATACAGAAGTCACCAGGAAGCCGGAGCAGGACCATTCTCATACAATAGACATGAGTCGCCAACACTTCTCCTGACAGATGTGGAAATTGTGGAACATAGCGGTTTTACACCCACTTCGAAACGCAACTTTGGTCCGGAAGGTATGGACAAACATCAAGCTTGTGTGGCAAAGGCCATTTCTGCTTTTGTGCGAGTGCTAACTTCTTGCGTAACGGTAACTCTGGTTCTAACGGCGATCACTGGCGGAGCAAGGTTGAAAAAATATAGTTTTCCAAAACAAAAACATTAAGAGTACAACTCCACATCAAGGCTTTTAAGAGTTGAATAAAGTGCTGAAAGCCTGAAAGGCGGCGTACGTCTGAAAAGCCTTTTGCGTAGTTTTACTCTAAAATTCATTGGCAACGAAAATGCCACTTCTAAAAGTAAACAAATTTTCTCTTTTGAATGAACACATTTCCAAAATTGTTTGCTATATATACATACATAATAGGGATGCCAATCCCGGGATTCCGGGGTTGTTGAGGTCCGGAAATCCCAGGATTTGCTTGCATTAATCCCGGGATCCCGAAAGATTTGAAATATTGAATTGATAGTAAGAACTTGTGTATGAGTTTTGAAGTACGATTTTTGTAAAATGCCATTTTGACTGCAATTGAAGCAAGCTTGAAACTGTACTTTTAAATTGCAGTCTGAGCCTTTTTTGAAGAAGATTTAAATGAATTTACTCATAGAGTTAGATAATTTTTTACATCAATCTACTCAAAACTTCCTCAAATCGAAAAATTTATAATTTATCCGATGTTCTGGTACAAGAAGTTCAAATATTTT